GGGGATGTCCCCAGCAGTTCCGGCCTCTGCTCAGGCAGGCGGAATGTGGCGTTTTTCCTGGAAAAGGAGAGGGCCGACTTGGGAAGGAGGTAAAGTCATGAGTGCATCTTACAGGGGTGAGTTGGAGGGGCGGGACGTGTCTGACACCAGAGCCCCTGCAGCGCTGCGTTTAACACCTTCTGTGCCGGGCACTGCCGCGGCCACCTGCGGGCAGCTTGCTACAGAGTGTCTCCCGGAGACGGGGACGGGGCTCAGCTTCCGGGCTGGGGAAGCCAGAACATGGCCTGGGGCTTGGCTGCAGCAGGGCTGTGCTGCCTGTCCCTTGGGCCGGTTGCCGTGCCGCACAGTCTGGGGTGCAGATCTGTGGGAAGCGGACATTTGCTGAGGGGAGAAAGGGGGTTCGCGGGCACATTTCTAGTGTTGCATTTCAGACGCCCATTAGGAGATCCCAGGGGTCTGAGGGGATGCTCAGGCAGTGCATGCAGGGGATAGGGGCTTAAATATGCGCTCTCAGGGCCATGGAGGGCGGGCGGCAGGCAGATTGGGTGGTCTGGCAGGTGCACGGGACTCAGGTGGGGGTGTTGGCAGGCAGGCAGGTGAGGGGGCACCAGGTAGGTGGGCAGGCAGGCTGGTGGGTGGTCAGGCCGGTGGGTGGGCCAGCACCCCGACAGCACGTGGGAGCATCTGGACTGACGCAGCCTGGGTCACCATGGAGCCCACGTCTGGGCCGTCAGTCCTGAAGGGATCTTGCCTGAACAATCCGTCTTCAGGCTAAGATGGGTCTAGCAGCACACATGGGAATCCTAGAGAGGTAAAGTGAGGCAGGGTCAGAGACTTTGTCTTGTCAGTGAGAAGACACACAACAAAACAAGACCACGAACCGGACCATGAACCAGAACATGGTGGAGGGAGGAATTCTCGGGGCTCAGGATCTGACGTAGAGCAGGAGGTAGAATCTGCACCGTGGTTACCTCGAACGCCCCGTGGAAAACCGTGTTGGACAAAGACTCTGAGCTGGTTCTCTGCCACCTTGGGCCCCCACTTTCCCACACCTGGAAGGGTCCGCGTCTGGGCTGATGTCAACCCCACAGAGGTGGCCGTGTTTAGGGACCAGGGGGCGTGGACACATCACATCCCTCTGGAGACACACTCCTGTTCTGATGGCCGTATTAAGGCTCTGCGGCAGGTGGAGTCTGAACCCGGTGGAAGGAGCCTCAGGGGACATCAGCCCATAAAATCACGTGGTGCACCACACTGCATGTTCACGGTGGTTTCTTCTGTTCCTCGTCTGTCCACGGTCACGCTGTGGGCAGCTTACGTGGGCCTCTGAGGACATTCTCCTCTGCGGGGGCCTCGTTTACCTCTCACGGCGTGCTCCGGAGAGGCCCGTAATAGCAAGAACCGTGCTCGTGACTGTGGAGGCTCGGACGCGCGGGGAGAGCGTGTGTTTTGTGCGCCGCAAGCCTGTCTTGAATTTGAGCGGGCACTTCGCGAGGGATGGCTGTGATCGGCCGATTGGGTCCGTAAGACCTAGATTTTTAAAAAAAAGGCCCAGGTAACCACCTATTCTAATTTTTAAAAATGGCACATGCTCCGTGTCACGGCAAACTCTGCGATTATGATCGGGTTTAAATCAAGTGCTACTTGGACTTTGTCTTTTTTTTTTTGGACGTAGGCGACCTTAACAGTTATCTGTTTGCTGCGTGTTACCTAGCAACCAGGCTGATTTGTACAAAAGCAATCTGTGTGAGATCACGTTTTAGGACAGCAGCTCCCGATTAGAGGGAGTGGAAACTGAAGACACGGGGTTTAGAGCCAGCA